TTTGAAAAAAAAAAAAAAAAAAAGAAAGTAATAAAAAATGAGGGCTTGCAAAAAAAAAAAAAAGAGGGCTCGCCGTCTTCCCCCCCCAACACAAAGCGCCCTCATTTTGTCTTCACCGGACGAGAAAAATGGGCTGTAGACATTCGTTATTGGGGTGCTCTGTGTTCGGTTTACGGTCAGATACATTCAGTAGAGTGGGTGTGTGAGTACGCCCTGAGTCAGGAGCCGTCCTCGGCGGGGTTCCGCAAGGGCCTCGCCGACAAAAAAAAGACAAAAAAACGAAAAAAAAAGAAAAACAAAAACAAATGTGAAAGAAAAACAAAAATGTGGCGGGTGCATCTGGCCATGTTCTAGCAGGAAGTTCATTCTCGTTCTGCACATTCCGAGAGTCGTGTCGCGTGGCGCTGCCCTTCATCTGGCGGGTTTCGAGTCTTTTGACTGAGGAGCGGCACGCACTGGGGAGCGCCACTCCCCACGTCAGAGGCGCGCGCGGGCGGGCGGGGCTCTGGCCCGTGCGGAGGAAAGGCACGAATCTTCCATCGCCACCTGTTGGCCAAATTTGCGTCAAGGCGTACGATTGTCTTCGTGGCATCCATAGCCATTGAAGCTACGAAGGAGAATGCTGCTGCCGGGTAATGGGGGGGGGGGAGGKGTTCTCCTTTCCTTGTGTTTGCGGGGTAATTGTGTAAACGACCATGGTCTAGGAGGAGGTGACGGCAGCAGCATTCTCCTTCGCAGAGTTCAGAGTTGACAGACCGGGCGGATAGGTCGGGTTCGGTGAGGTGCAGTAGAATGGGAGATGGAATTTTCTGGCTAGCGGGAGGAAGGAGGTGTGAATAGCAGGGCGAATTCGGCAGCTTGCTTGCTGGTTTGACGGGCGAGAGAGAGAGAGAGAGAATGTGTATACGGGGAGCCTTGTCCGGTGGCAATCGCGGACTCCGAGGGAAAAGGTAGGCAACCGGATTGTCACAGTTCTCCGTGACTTCTATTTGACTCCGTCTAGGGGTTCTACGTGTAGCTTCTCTCTCCACACACACACACACACACACACACACAGAGAGAGAGAGAGAGAGAGAGAGAGAGAGAGAGAGAGAGAGAGAGAGAGAGAGAGAGAGAGAGAGAGAGAGAGAGAGAATGTGTATACGGGGAGCCTTGTCTGGTGGCAATCACAGACTCCGAGGGAAAAGGTAGGCAACCGGATTGTCACAGTTCTCCGTGACTTCTATTTGACTCCGTCTAGGGGTTCTACGTGTAGCTTGTCTCTCCTGCGAGAGAGAGAGAGAGAGAGAGAGAGAGAGAGAGAGAGAGAGAGAGAGAGAGAGAGAGAGAGAGAGAGAGAGAGAGAGAGAGTACGGGGAGTTTGGTAGGTGGCAATCGCGGAGGGAGAAGCTAGGCAATCGGATTGGAAGCTAGGCAATCGGATTGTCGCAGTTCTTCCGACGTGAGTTGCAATTGACTCTGTCTAGGGGTTCTAGGCGTAACTTCTCTCTCTAGTGCGAGATCGGGGGCGAGGAGAGGAAACGTGAGAGAGAGGGAGGGAGAAAGGAGAGAAACGAGGAGGAGGGAAGTGGGCGAGGAGAAACTAAGGAGAAAAAGGAGAGAAAGGAGGAGGGAAAGGAGGACGGGGAGAGCCAGCCTTACCGGCGGCGAAATCGGCAATTGCTAGTACCAACCGTTGAAGTGTCTTCTTCTTCTTCTTCTTCTTCTTCTTCTTCTTCTTCTTCTTCTTCTTTTCGTATAAAAGAAGGATAAGATGGATGAGGAGCTGCGTTTGCTGCAGCAGAGGTTTCTTCAGGCACAGGAAGCGCAGTCGACGGTGAGATTGTCTGAGCGAAATGTGGTGCAATTAGTCCTCAAGCTCCAGCAGCTCGGTCTGCTAGGAGCGGATATTCTGCACACGATCAACGGCAGAGAGTACCTCACGCAGAGTCATCTGCGGAAGGAGATGGAGCGAGAGATAAAGAAGCACGGTCGTGTGTCCTTAGTCGATTTGGCAATGACCATCGGCGTGGATCTTGCACACTGTGAGCACCAAGCGAAGTTCATTCTCCACGATAATGCCGACACTTTTGGCCTTGTGCAAGGCGAGATCATAACGACTAAGTACTGGGACACAGTCGCAGAAGAGATAGAAGAGACACTGCAGCAAAGCGGTCAGACGTCCATAGCCGAACTCGCGAGAAGATTTAACATGGGAGCGGAGGTGTTGACATCCGTCGTTGCGTCTCGACTGGGATCTATTATCAATGGCAAGCTGGAAGGAGGTATTCTGTACACTCCTGCGTATGTGGCTCGTGTGAAGGCCATGATGAGGGGTGCAATGAGGGCGCTGACGATTCCCACCCCCCTGATGAGCGGTGTGTGGGGTAGATTGGAGGATCTGCAGGAAGAGATGGGGATTGTAGGCGGTGCGAGAGGGGGGGGGAGCGGAATTGCGCTGATGCAGTCAATGGTCAGCAGTCTGGTGTCTGAGGGGGCTATTTTTGGAACGCTGAGGGGTGGAGTTGCTTCGTCGTGGAACCCAGAAGTGTTTCTTCGGTCACAGAAAGAGGCAGTGGAAGCTTTCTTCTCCCAGAATGGATTCATTCTGTACGAGTCGTTGAAGATGCTCGCCGTGCCTCAGCCTAAGCGATTTATGCAAGCGAAGTACCCCGATGGCGTGGGACTGAGCACGGCTTATGTCCATGCCTCCGTTGTTAGTCAACTCGATGCGGCTGCCGACGAGGCCATACAAGGCAAGTCGTGGTGCGACGCAGTAGCGCTTTTGACGCCTGCGCTGTCACAAGCAGATGTAGCAGAGCTTCTTGCAATGTGCCCGTCTGTGAACAGGGCGAAGAAGGAGGGGAGAGCATCGCTGATGGCAGGCACTTGTGTCGTCACTGAAGACCTCGTCGGGGACTTGATTGGCCGATTTGAGAAGGTGATGATGCGGCAACACGTTTCTCAAGCAGAGAGGAGGACTGTCACAGCCCTCGGGCCTGCTTCCACCAATCTCCCTGCATTTTTCGGTGATAACAAGAGACAAGGACTCGCTTCAGAAGGGCACCGCCACAGTGATGAGGAGGAGGAGGGTAATCATGGCGTTGACAGCGGCAAACAAAGGACACTGTCAGGCACGAACAAGAAGCCATCAGCTCATGGCGGTGCAGAGGGATCAGACGATTTGCGGAGCTCTGGGAAGAGAGGGAAGGGAGGGGGGAGAAAAAGGAGTCCCACTGAGAATGGCAGAAAAGTGGGTGGTGGTTTACCTTTACCTCCTGCAGCAGCAGAGGGAGGTGCAAAAGCGGAGAGGAGAGAGGAGGTAGAATCTGATATGATGGTTCCCGGCGAGACGGAGATAGCCAGCAAGATCCTGGAATGGTACCCGGAAATGGAGTTGGCAGGAGTAGGAGAGGGAGAGGAGGAGGAGGACGGGAGGGAAGGCGTTTTGGTCCATGAGCTCGCGGGGCGAATACGGCCGACACTCATGTCCACTTGGCTTTCGTTGAAGAAGGCGGCGTTCTCCATGAGCGCCGAGGCGAGGAAACGCCGACGGATCGCAGTCCAACAACTCATGGACGATCTCTATCTGAACCTGCAGCTGTACGCGAAGGCGCTCGACCTGTTCGAGAACGACATTACGATCTCGCCGGTTCTTCATCGTCATTTACTGAGAGTTTTTGCAGCTGAAGTAGCTGACGTGCTTCTTCATGCACAGGGCCAAGAGCACCAGATTTCTGAGGGGCTCATTTCTGCTGCTGATACGTCGTTGGCTGCTCTGCCTCCTGTCGGCCAGTCGTTGCTCAGCGTACAGGAAAGGTACGACCTTGCGTACAATCTTCCAGCTGACATCCGTGTCAAGGCCATCGCATTGGTGGCAGCAATCGATGGGAAGAGCGTTCCCACTTTTATGGCGTCGCTGGAGTCGCTAGCGGAGGACTGCGGTGTCCGATTAAGGAAACTGGACAAGAAGGTTGAGCGCACTCTTCTTCACATGCATAAAAGGGCATTGATTTCTCAGTTGGAGGCAGAGCAGGATCCTGTCGCAGCCCTTCCTCTTGCTGTGTCCCTTCTGTTTGCGCAGGTTCATGCGCGAGCTCTTCAGGCTCCTGGGCGAGCGATAGCGACTGTCATCGCAAGCTTGAAGGATGCGATCTCAAAGGCATCGCACCAGATGCTTATGGAGTACCACTCGCAGACGGTCTTCTACCTCTCGTTCAAAAACAGTCAGTCTGCTGTGAGGGGAAGCAACGATGCAGAGTATTGGGAGAATCAGACAGAGCAGAAGCTGAAGTACATAAAGGACAACATGGCCGGTGTGAAGGCGCTGGCGCTGAAGGCCTCCTCCTCCTCTGTCTCAGCACAACCTCTCCCCCACGCAAGTCAGCACCTCAACACCTGTACGTCCACGTCGTTCATGCTGTCGCCATCTGCCAATGCCGCAGCTGCCGCTGCTGCAGCGACCGCGGCAGCCTCGCTCCGATTGTCGCCATCGTCTGCTGGATCCGATGGGATTGCTTATGCCCCAGCATCCACACGACAGCCTGAGGAAGTATTAGCACAGCAAAGTGCAGGCACCTGTGCTCAGACTCACCACAGACCGCTCAGTGCGCTCACGCCTCTGTCATCTCTGCCACCGTTGTCAGAGGCTGCAGCTGTGAATCCTGACGGCGGCGGAGATGACAGAGCCTCTGACATACTAGTAGGGGAAAGGGTTCAACAACTGGAGCGGACGGAAACACAGTCGACGTACTGTTCGCTCAGCAATAAGTGCGCCCAGCCCAACATTTTGGGGTCTGTAGCACCGCCGTCTGTTTCCCTGCAGTCTACCTTAACGAGGGCGCTTTCTGAGAGCGACTCTCAGTCTCAGGGGAGCGGCGGCAGTAGTAGAAATGGACCTACGTCGCCATTGCTGGTTCCGTCGGTCTCCCCAACAATCAAGGGCGCAACTCGTGTCCAGAAAGCAGTTTCATTAGGTGGCAGCAGTAGTTCTGCCTCAGGTTCAGGCTGGTTGAGTTCATCGTCGTCCTCTGAAAACAACAAGCTTCAGGGACATGGCTTTGCCCATCATGGCACCCCGCCACGCCCACCTCCAGCACCCTGGTCAGCCACCAGCTCTCTTGCAAGGTTCCTTGATGTTAGCGTGTCGTCCAGCTCAAGCAATGGCAGTGTGCCTGTTCCATGCGGGAGCCTTCCCAAATGCATCACCTTCACAGGAGATGCATTGGCATCCGTGGACTTGACAGACGAGGCAATGCTCATGGCTCCTGTGAAGGCAAGGGCAGCAGTCTGGGACCAGCGCAGCCTTTCATGGTCCGCGCCGACCATGCCTTCGTCGAGGACAACATCGAGGTCTTCCTCTCGGGCATCATCCAGATCGAGTTCACCCTCACCTGCCGCGGCACTATCAGAGTCTCAAAGTTTGGTGGGAAGAGCATCTGCACTGCTGGAGGCAAGGGCTACAGCAGGACGGGATGGAGAGCGGTCCCCACCAGAATCCACTTCGCCATCCTCTTCGCCAGAGACCAATGACACTAGTAGTACAAGTTTTGCATCACCGGACTCATCGGAGGCAATTCTGCTCGGTGCGACAAACGGTGTGAATGACGGCACAGCTCCTGGCGCGCAGGAAGAAGTTCACGACAATACTGCAGCAGCTGCACCCGCTCTTGGCGCCGCTGACGGCGCTGAGATGGTTAGCGATGAACATCACGAGGTGGAGCCGTAATTGCAGGCAGGCAAGGAGCACTGGAGCAGGGAAGGCTCTCTCTTTCCGAGTCATGGGAGCAATCGGTAAAGACAGGTGGCTGGCTGTCATCGCCTTTTTTTTTTTTTTTTTTTTTTGAACACGCCCTGGGTGCTGCTAGGGGTGCTGCTGAAGGCAGCCACCGCTAGCATCCCCAGGCAGGCTCCGTCTATTAGTGTTGAGCAGCACCTGCTGGAAACCGGGACCAGCGTCCCTTACATTTGAATTTTACATTTGAAAGAGCCATGAGGAATCATGAGATAACGTGCTGGAAACCGGGTCCAGTGTCCCATCGGTCACTATCCCGAACTTTCGGCTTGCTGTCATCGTGTGTGAGCTGTGCATGGATCCAATGCATGAAGTATCTGGGATCACCCACTGCTGCAGTGGAGTTGTAGCAGCAGAGGTAAACGTTAAAGGCAGGTAGGCGGGCAACTACCACTAGTACTACTAGCTCGCACTGAGGCAGACCTGTAGCACTTAGTCATTCTCCCAAACTGTGGGGAAGGGAGGAGACGCAGGAGAGAATCAATAGAGAGCCATGCACTGTGGGCATGAGCGTTCGTCGACAGGGTACTGTCAGGCAGTGTCAGCTTTGCACAGACTTCCAAAACCATGCACCCCGTTCGCGGGGATGGAGAAGGCGCAGCAGCATTCTTAGCACGCTGGCATTCAGGAAGAGTGAAGCACGCGGCGGGTGAGAGCGGGATCAGCTGGGTGGGTGGGTGAGAAAGGGAAATGGACTATTAGGGACTATTAGGGACTATTAGGGACTAAGAAGGAGGCCATGTGAGAGAAGACGTTTGCGTACTAGGCATACTAGGAGTTGTCATGTGAACCTAGGGTTGCGCCTTGAGCGGTTGCCGGCGGGCTCTGCGCACTGCGCAGGGCTTAAGGTTTTGTACGTCAACTTTGCTGGGCCTCTGTTCGACGACCGGACCCTTCGAGCGGTGCCTGCCGGTTTCAGCAGAGCTCGTTCACCGATCTTTCTTGTAGGCTAAGCCACAAGATTGGTAGCATTTGCTGCGGTCTCTGTGCAGGGCTTAAGGTTTTGTACGGGAGCTTTGCTGGGCCTCTGTTCTACAACGGGACCCTTCAAGTAGTGCCTGCTGTTTTCAGGAGAACTCGTTCACCGATCTTCTTGTAGCCACAAAATTGGTGTCTCGCGCGACCGCAAAGGAGATGCGCAGACTTGGAAAAAGGTGCACGAGCAAAGTCTACCACGGGGTCCCATCTGGCACTCGCTGGTGCCAGATGGGACCGAGTTCCAGATCAAGAGAGTGCACACACAGTCTGCTACTCGGTTCCATCTGGCGCAGACTAGCTAGTTTTTTGTCCTGGACTAATTATAATTCATTGATTTGGAACGTATTTCAAAATTCACATTTTATTAAACAAATTGTCAATTATTTTTATTTATTCATCTTTAAAAAAAAAAAAGATGAGAGAGAGAGAGAGAGAGAGAGAGAGAGAGAGAGAGAGAGAGAGAGAGAGAGAGAGAGAGAGAGAGAGAGATAGAGAGAGAGAAAATTATTTATTTTCAGGTGCTGTCTTTGCTGCGCCCACTGCCAGAGTTTCTCCTTTTTTCCTGGACTACTTATAAATTATAATTCATTGATTTGGAACGTATTTCAAAATTCATATTTTATTTAAAATTTTAAAAATTGTCAATTATTTTTATTTATTCATCTTAAAAAAAAAAAAAAAAGGAGAGAGAGAGAGAGAGAGAGAGAGAGAGAGAGAGAGAGAGAGAGAGAGAGAGAGAGAGAGTTGGAAATGATTTATTTTAGGTGTAGTAGCTGCAGTACAAATTGAAAGAGTTTCTCCTTTTTGGGAACTGGTCCGTGACTCTGTGTCTTTGTCCACAGGGGTGAGGCTCCACGCTGGGGTGGAAGGTCGGAGGTCGAGCGACCCCTGCGCTTGTCGTGCGACCCCTGCGCTTCTCGAGCGACCCCTGCGCTTGTCGTATGATTTGTGTGTATTTGCCTTGGGCACTGGGCCCGTAATAATACAAGGGGACTGCTTTTTTTGGGAAAAAAAAAGAAAGTTCGGATGAACTGTCATGAACAGTGCTACCGGACCAAAATGGCTAGCGTCACCAGCCAAAGAAAAAAGAAAACGCCGCTCACGCTTGTGAGATGCTAGATTAAAAAAAAAAAGAAAAAAAAAAGAGAGGGAGATGCTAGATTTAACCACATAAACTAGCTTCCCTTGGACCATGGCCGTTTTCCCTTTTTCTCCCCTCCCCACCATCCCCTCTGCGGCCCCGGCCCCCCCCACCCAAAAAAAAAAAAAAAAAAAAAAAACATTAATTGACGGTGAATGGGGTTCCGATGACCCCCGGTTAGATCACAAATGTACAGGGAGGACATGTAAGGGCATGAACGGAGTTGGGAGTTTGATATATTGGGTGAATCTGGATGTACTTGCTGCCAGGTCCAGCACAGTTGGGAGAGCCGCCCTGCAATGCAGGCCAAGCCACAAAGGCTTTGAATCATGATCAATCATCATCCAACGCTCTGAATCAAATGCCTACCATCTTCCCCTGAACACAACGCACCTCTCTCTCTCTCTCTTTTTTTTTTTTTTTTTTTAAGCTATCCTGACGGCAGGCAGGAGGTGTTGATACACGCAAGCACCTCCAGCTGCTCTTGGGGGGCTCCGTCTATTGCTGGCGAGCTGCACCTGCTGGGAAACACAGTGTCATTGAACCGGACTGACACTCCCCAGAATGGATATTAAGGAGCCTGAACCATAGGGTTCAGTTAAATAATAATAATAATAATAATATAATATCAGAGTGTCATTGAATGAAGGTTTTGTACAGAGTGC